TCGAAGCTTCGTGGTCTAGGTTACCCGTTTCCATTAGGAACACAGTTCATCGTGACTACGGGTTTTATCCTGTCTGTTGTTCATCACACAATGGTGTGATAAAAAAAGATTGTTCCAAAATCACATGATATTTGAGACCATTCCCATGCTGAAGACCATTTGCGTCGTCTTTTATTACTGAGGTGTTTTTCCTTTGTACAACAGACAGCTCCGGATTTTATGAGACGATCATCTTTGACCAGGACAAATAACTTCCTTTTATATTCTGAAATCCCTTTATTTCGCCTGTTACACAAGGCACTTAAGTATTTTACCATAAATGTGTAATACTGAGATTCACTCAATGAGAAACATCTCTGTTTATATAAAGCTCATAATTCGGTCAAGATGCGCTTAGATAAGGTTGGCCGTTTAACCGAACATCTTCACATGTTCGAGGAATTGTCTTCTAATTAAGCAATAGATCGGGCTTGAATTTAGGTATACCCTATTGGTTTCTTGTCTTCTGGCCTCTGGAATGTGACCGTATGACTTTTTCTAACCGTCCAAAAGCTAAGGGTTCCATTAATGCTAGCCTATCCTAAATTTGTTTGATGGGCGTTGGTGGTCTACCATAATTAAGTTGATTTATTTATTCTCAAACGCCAAATTCCATTCTATCCGGAGCTAATTCAGTCCAAGCTTTTGTTTTTTGGTTCTTCTAATCGCAGCATCAGAATATGGTGGAAAATCCTGAACCTTCCTAAAACTACACAAGAAAACAGTTATCATCTCACGGCTTCGATGCAGCCTAATACGGCTTTAAACAACCTACCTGAGGTCAATTCCTGTCCTAAACGTCTCGAATGTCTTGTCGAATTTCGCAACGATCTTCTCACCGTATCTCTTTTCCTTTTTTTAGACCGGTCGACATCCTCTACATATCGCGTGTGGTAGAGGACATCAGAGTGTGGTAGAACTTTTGCTCGCGCTCTCGGATATTGACCCCGATCTGCCGGACAAGGTAAGTTTGGCATGTAAACCGAACGTTTCTCTCTAGCGTCCTAATCACGTCATTGTCCTCTTATACCCACCCTAACGCACCGCCCAGGTACTTTCCTTCTATTATCTCAGTCGGCATACAAGAACAAAATGATGTGTGTAACATTAGCATTCACAACCACTCTCTGCCTTCCACTTTCTACGCGTATACACAGACATACACACTTACAGACATCAATTATCACAAGTCCATCATCTCTCTTTGAACTGTGATTTCCTTCGCAGGTATTTGTTTCCTCTCCCCGCCTGTTTAATCTGTTATAAATTGTGCTGTATTTAACTAGTTGATGTAGCACCGAAAATAAGCTTGTTTGCTATTTAGTGTTCTCATGATTAGCATCATCAGTGACAATAAAACTGAAATCAAATAAGAAGCAAAATTGATCTTTGTTCCACTAATCCTCATCTTCAGTAAGCGTAAGGTTGTAAAGTGGAAGCCAAACATTCTTTCGGATTTACTTTACACGGTTGGACAACTCAGACATTCACATCTCTCATTAATGCCCCCAGGACATTGGGGCGAGAATATCGGTCCGTTACTGCACGGAAGAATCATCCTTTTGAAATTAATCCAAATTGATCACATGTCAGTGAGGCACTACGACCATCCAGTCAGTGCTCCACAATTAGTGTAGAGATTACCGATCTGTCTCATTTCCGAAGAGGCATTCCTTATCAGGTATTCCAGATGCAGCAAACAAACAAAAAAATGTTACTCCCCGAAGTTGACTGTTTTATTTTCCCCGCTTTTTACCTATATTATTTCGTTCACCCACGGTTATTTTGGCGCCGTATATGTAAAGATTGGTTATATATATTTATATATACATTCCAGATGCTTTAGTGCGTTACCGCCCTCCTGAAATGCTGCAGTTCACGTTCGTTTTTTTCGATAAAAGACTGAGGACAAGGGTCTTCTTTGAACCGAGCGACACTTTCATCACATGATATGTCGCTCTCCCTCTTGTCCGTATTCTTCAATCTGCTGGGTAGCTATACCAGGCAAATTATTTTTGTATGGCCATCGAAATTTACTCGGATTGATTCGGGCTCAAACCAGGGATCCCGAGTAGTGAGCTCACCAGCCCCAAGCACCAGAGTTTTCTGTCATCGGTTCCCATAACCGTTCATCATTAAGCTTAGTACTGCGAAAACCGTGTCTAGTAAAGACACACTTTTAGCGCAGGCGGTTGCCGATTAGATCAGGACTCTATGTGAAACACTTTAAAGTGTTCTTGTTCTTCATCTATGAAATGAAGATGTACAACCAATGGGTTGATTGGAGCGGTTTTGCATATGGTAGACTATGATTGATAATGCGTGTAAAACAGTCACATTCACTCTCTGTTGAATACTTTACGATCACAGCTAGGCTATTCTGTACTGTTCAAAGCGGCCGCTTCGGGCGATTGTGAGCTGCTTCGTCTACTTCTCCGGTACGGGTCGGACGTGAACCGAACAGATCAATTGGTAAGTTGTGCATACGTTTGCTTGTGATATGCGTTCTTCCACTAAAACTAGAAATATCATCGTGCTGGGAATAATATTATTCAAATGGCCACTTGGTTGCTTCACTAATATCACTTTACGTATTCTCAGAGTCAGGAGAGGAAAGCTTGAAACCTGCTCGTCACCCTATTTTAAATGTTTTATACATTTTTGCTCTAGTTTGTGTAATGTATATAAACTCAACAACTTTCGAACTACCCAACTTGAAATGGGCTTGTTACTTACCGGCTTGTTAATTGTTGACAGTTTTGTTTGGGCCTCTTGCCAGAACTAACTCACATTATTGCTCTGTAACCACTGGACGGATGTTCGGAACTTCTAGTCTACTTTCTCTGAACGAACTACCTCCTCCTCCTCCTCAGAAGAACAATTCTCCACTGCACGAAGCTGCTCGTCGGGGTTTCTCTCGATCGGTCAAATTGCTTTGTGAAGCCGGTGCTAATCCGTATGCTCGCAACAAGGTGAGATCTTTCCCTATTTTTCCGGGATTCTCTCATTCTGTTACGTGTTGTGCTTTTGCCCATACATGTCGAACCTATCCTCCATGTAGTACTTTTGGCAGTCTTTTCACAATCGTATCTAATATCATTGCCGTTTCGGAGAATGTGGTTAATAATCGATTGTTAGGTACCATTACGAAATTTAATGAAACTCTTTTACTTTAAAACAAATATGGAGAGAAATCACGGACTTATTACGCCTTCCGAGGTACGTGGTACCTAACCATAAACTTTGGACACAAATACACGCAACACTCTCACCCACCCCCCGCACAGTACCCCCACTTTTTCTACTGTTTACCCCACCCCGAATGGTTCCACTGACGTAGATTCATGTTGTAGCTCGCCGCTATCCGCCTTGACATCTGTCTCGGGACTGTCCGTTCCATTCCTCCGACTTCACTCTACGTTCAAACTGGCTTCATTCAACGTAAGAACTCTAATACGTATAGGACAACAAGCAGGTTTGGCTCGTACACTCGAAAGTCTAGAGATTGATGTGTTGCCTCTCGCATCCGGGATCCGAGCTCATTGATCCAATTAACGTCTCCTTCCAACCCAAAAGAAGCGTTTGAACTGCGCGTCTCCGGGGACCCTATCACTTCAGCGTCTGATCAAGCAGGCGTTGGTATTGCCTTGAGTGCCAGGGCCGAAGCTGGTCTACTGGATTGGATCCCGATAGATAGCCGACTATGCGCAGTGAGACTCAGAGGCTCAAGTAAGATAAAAAAACAAACCAAATGAACGATACTTATTCGTGGTTTCTGCATACGCTTCCACAGACTGTAGCCCGGATACAGTCAAGGACGCCTCTAATGATGCATGGCGATCGATAGCGAGATTGATGCGGTGTGAAACCCAGTGCTGATTCCAGTTACGAATTCCATTTACGGATTGGAGGCCCAGTAATTCGCAATTCGCCTTGATCGTACTGCTCCAAGTCTTCAGTTGACCACGGAGTCGGCAACGCCATCCACGGCAGGGTGCGGGGACTGCAGCCTGTCGTTAGAGTTGAGTGTCTGACCCTCGGAGCACATGGCCAAACCACTGAAGGCACCGGCGTTGTAGCATTTTTGAAAGCTTGTCGATGTTCGAGCAGCGCCGTCGAACCTTATCATTGGAGATCCGATCTCTCCAATTTACTTTCGATATGCGGTGTAGGCACCGATGACGAAAGACTTCGAGCTTCTTTGTATCTTGTACTCTTAGCGGCCAGGTTTCACAATCGTAAGCGAGGATGGGTCGAATGAAAGCCTGATAAAC